GAGATACCAAGGAAACTACACAAGAGTCTGGAAAAGCTACAGCTCCATCCAAAAATATACTTGCAACTGCAAAAAGCTGCACTGCTGGGAACATGTAGGACAGTACGTAGGGTTTTAGGAGATGAGAACCGGATACGGTGAAAAGACCGCTGCAGATCTATTTCCTTACTTTGGCTAACCGCCTGAGGGAAATATTAATACCTTCGACAGAGGAGTAAAATAGTATAATAATAATAATTATAATAATAAAATATATATTATAATAGTAATAATAATATATATAATATCATAATAATAATACAATAATTATAAAATAATAACAACAATAATGATAATAATATAATATAATAATAATATAATAATAATAATATTAATAATTATAATAATATTAATAATATAAATACAATAATATAATAATAATAATATCCCCGCAGGGGGTATCTACTTTTGAAGCCGGATCTTTGATCCCGTTTCAAGAGAAGATACATGGGGAGCGTCGCCCCCACGGCCCCAGGCAGGGAGTTCGGGGTTTGGTAGTCTTACTAATTCTGCCAAACCCTGGACTTTTCCTTCCTCTTTTCTCCCATTCTTTCTCCTTTTATTATATCCTGTACAGCTGTTCGCTTTCCCTCGACTTTCCTCTCCTATCCTTACCCCATGCGTTGAGGCGGCGTGTGGAGCTTCCTCTTAGCCTCCCGGGTGTTTGTGCCGTGCCCGGCGACCCGTAAGCTGGCCAATGGAATCCTGGTGGTTGAGCCCTACCAGTCAGGGGGGCAACACGCCACTTTGGTCCGGCGGTCAGTCTAGAAGGGCGGCCACGCCTAGCCCAGCGTTGGTCAATCGGCTGCGCCATCCCGTCAGAGGGCTGGCTGGGGGCGAGCCTCCACAGGTAGTAGAAGCCAGACGAGGATGGTTTGCTATCCTCGATGTATGATGGAGCTATCTGTGGGGACTATACTTCCTTTGTTTCGACATTCACGGTATCCCTGGGGTTGTGTTCTAGCGGAAGGCGATAATGAGCACAATCTCCCGTTGAGGCTCCATGGAGGGTGGGGAGCCGAGGAAGTGAAGATCAGGATTTCGCATGGCAAACAAAACAAAAACCAAGGGTGTGCCTGCCCCCCTAAATGTAGGCAACGATGGCGAAGGTGGAGCTACATGTAGAGCTTCCACTGGATCGAACAATAATGTCAAGGAGACGGATGGGCCCGTCCCCCGGTTCCTTGTCATCAAGAGAGTTGATAATGATAATTTTGCAACAGTTAGTCCATTCCTTATTTCTAAGACCATAAATGGTATAATAGGAGACCCTAACTCTGTTAAAAAGATTAAAGCTGGCATATTGGTGGAAACAAAAACAGATGCCCAGTCTCACAGACTCATAAGAATACAGCATTTTACAGATATTCCTGTCACAGTAGAAGCCCACCCAACGCTAAATTCTAGCAAAGGGGTCGTGTACTGCAAAGACCTCTTAAATTGCCCTGAAAGTGAAATTCTCGAGGAACTGAAATCAGAAGGAGTAATACATGTACAGAGAATTAGAGTCAAGAGGGACAATGAACTGCGTGATACACCAAATCACATAATCACATTCAATTCCCCCAGATTACCATCGAAACTTAAATGCGCTATGTATAAACTTGATGTTCGGCAGTATATTCCCCCACCAGTACGCTGCTTTAGATGCCAACGGTACGGCCATACGTCATTGTCTTGCCAAAATGAACAGGTATGCATATGTGGAAAGGAGTTACACATGGGAAGACCATGTGATCGCCCGGTACAGTGCCTAAATTGTCACGGGCCTCACGTGGCTTCATCGAAGGAATGCCCAAGATACAAAACAGAATTGGCTATTCAGAAACTGATCGCTACTGACAAAATAAGTTATATTGAGGCCAAAAAAAGGTGGTGGTGCATACTCCACAACCAAACGTGTCGTATGCACAAGCCACGCAAAAGAGCCAGGATGATGATATTATCGAAAAGATCATCCCACGTCTGACTAATATCATCCAATCTTCGATTTCTCAAGCACTGAAAGGCAAAGACTTCCATGAAATTGAGCAACCTCAATTCGTTACACCTCAGCCAAAAGTATCACATAGCTTGTCTC